CAGGCGTGGGCACCCCCCGGCCCGCGGGCCAGATCCGGCCCGCCGATAAGTTTTGTCCGGCCCGCTAATATAATTCATAGTTAATACTTCATAGGGCCCACAAGTTTCAAATTCTAATTTATTAATTAATTAATACGATTATGTTACACGTGCAGCATCTAGTGGACGCGATCCGAAGCTTCCAAGACGTTTGAAAGCCTAGTTAAAGATGCATTTATTGTTTCAGAGATATCGCCAGGCATTTTCCAGAATTTTCCTCGCGATAATACCGGGTGGGGCAATACAACGACACGTGATTTAGGGATTAAGAATCTTAAGAGCATAAATGAAAATTTGGATACTAACTGAATATGGGGATTTATTATCCACATCTGGCAAATTTTGTTTGCAAAATCGTGTCAATTTTCAGGAGTACTTATTGATTTTTTTTTAAATAATTTTTACGAAAGCAAAAAATAGATGAAGACCAAAAAGAAATAGATACTTACGTATTGATTTCTTTAAACATACTTTTTATTTGGATTTTCAAGTGTGGCCCGTGGCGCATATAAAAAATTTTATTTTGGCCCCTTGGAAAAAAAGGTTGCCCACGCCTGCCATAGCCCAACAACAAAGCACGACCAGCACGATGGCCTGCACAATACACTCACCACCTACACGTGGGAGACACTCACCACCTAAGCGTGGGAGACAATCACATTCAAGGGCTATTACACCAAACTCACTAATACGTCCGATGCTCTACTTAGCATCCCTTATACGATCGTGACCAGAGCCCGTACGCAACTTAACTGCCTTAACACGATCCCTTAAGACCCTTGCACCTATATGTGCAAAATCGCGCATACTTGACCAGTCAGCTTTGCCACATTTATCAAATAGGGGTTGCGTTGACATTTTACTTTTTCGTTATTAAGGACTACCCTAAAATATGGTTCTTACACATATAACTGTATCTTCTTTTGTCTTAATGCTATGACCATAATTTTTATTTCAATTAATGCCATAGTGCCATGCATGGTGCAAAAGATCCATTAATGACAAATTATAATAGTTGGAGGTCACGTATTTCAAGCAGTGCATCTGTCATATCCAACTAGGTACATAGTAACAAGAAACAAGCAACAGGCACACCCAAAAGCAACAAGCAACCGAAGTAAGCAACGAGCAACAGGCAACAAGCAACAGAAACAAGCAACAGATACAAGCACAAGCAACAAGCACAAGCAACAGCAACAGGCAACAGCAAAAAGCAACAGCAACAAGCAACAGCAACAAGCAACAGCAACAAGCAACAGCAACAAGCAACAGCAACAAGCAACAGCAACAAGCAACAGCAACAAGCAACAGGAACACACAACAGGAACAGGAAACAGCAACAGCAACAAGCAACAGCAACAGGCAGAAAACAACAATCAACAAGCAACCGGCAACCAGTAACAAGCAACAGCAACAGCAGCAACAGGCAACAAGCTACTTGTACGAAAGTTGAATATATGAAACTTGTACGAAAGTTGAATATATGAAGGTAAATCAACTTCTCGTGTCATCAAATAGGAGTGTTCTCTTATTTTTTTGCATTTAGTTTCATGAGAAATAAATATTTAGCAAAGATTTCGGTTTAAATGATATTTTCAATTCAGATGTAGTAAGTACAAAAAACGTTTTTACTTTTTTTTTAGATTTATTGTTAGCATGAAAATACGTGTACTTATAACTTGTGAGTTGGTTCGTATTGTAAGATTTACAAGCATAAAATCCTCTCTCGAACCCTCGTCTATCGTAAGTAATGGTACTTACTCAACTTACATGAAAGGACTGAAATTACATGCCTTAATACTATAGCGTTACATTGCTAAGATTCCCAGTAAACTTTTAAACTTAAACTGGACATTAACTTTGATAATTGCCTATTTGATTCTGACAAGTTTCGAAGTCTGACAAGTTTGTGGCTAAACTATACAATGACGTTCTCGCCTTGCACTTGGACTTGGACATTTTCTCTCAAAGCATGTACCCAACTTAATTCATTAAATATGCATAAGTGCGAGAATTTTACATTTATAAAATTTATTAGATCGCGTCTAGATCGTAACTTCAATATTTTTATTTCCCAGAGAAACTGAGAGCTATAAATTATAATGGATGGTTTGTAATAAAACCGAAATTTCAAAGATTCGTAAATTTTGCATCGTGCGATGTGAATATGGATGATTTTATGCTTTCATGGACATCGATTAATAAGACTGCTTCTTGGGGGCGGCCACTATTTTGACTGTAATTGTGTTCGTGAACTGAAGGGCCTATTTAAGGGGCATTTAAATCACAATTGAGTGTTTCGAGTGGTGCTCAAAGTATTTTTAAGTACGGAGAGCGGGTACTGAAATTAAAATAATGACTAGAATTTTATTATCTTAGTTCTTTCATACATTATAGCTCAAACAATTAACAGATATTTGCTCTTTTTGGCTGATGCGATGCGGTCCTTCAAACCTACGTTTTGTAAAATATTTTTTTCAAAGACTCCTAATTGAGATCAAATTTGTCATAGTACTGAAGTTAACAAGTTTTAATGCCTCGTGATTGATGCATATACTTTTAGCCTTGCAGATTAAAAGTACGTATCATGTGTGGGGAAATAATATACAACAAAACTTTTTGGCAAATTTTTTGGCCGCAAAATCCGGAATTTAGCTTCCGGTTTCATGGAAATCAAGCTCATTGGTCATGTTGCCAATAAATTCGCCTGTTTGGGGTCCCTATTTACGAAATACTTTAGAACGACTTTCCCGATTTAACTGAAACTAAATGAACCCCATGTCACATGCTCATCTAGACAAAGCTACCTAACCTGGCTAACAAAATAATAATATGCTGGAAAAAAGAACTGGCCAAGAAAAAAACCAGCCAGCAAATGAATATTAAACTTCATAGCAAAATTAGTCGTCTGTAATGACATAAATGCCTGTTATGATGGTTGTCAAGTAAATTAATATAATGTCGAATCACAGGCTGCACTGGGATTTCTAAAAAATTAACACACATCACATAAAAAAACAATCATTAAAGCATTACAATAAATTCACATAATAACTTTGGTTATTGGATGACCAGTCCAAATCCCAAACCGACTAGTCTTTAGTTGCTCTGGTCATGACATGTCAGTATTGTATGAAAACGCTAGAAGTTGGCCTCTCAAAAGAGCATTTTACACAGGAAGGGTACCCCAATGGATACAAAAAAACAAAGGGCACAACGGGAACACGCCGTACGCTTTTAGTAGATCCCTGCGCAAGTGCGGCCGGGACACACATCTCTAAGGAGGGCCAGTCCAACCCACTAGTTATAAAGTGCCGGGTTATAAAAGACCGAAATCCAGGCTCTCCACCATGAGTACTGACAGTAACCGATCAAAAGACACAGAAAACTCGCACGCATACATAATCACAAACAAAATTTATATAGCATTTATGTAGGCCTTGACAGTTGACATATTTGCACTGTCATAACAAAGATTGGTACAAACCCAATATTCCGAAACTACATGTCAAGAGTCGACTCAACGAATTGATTAGCAATATCGTATCGGCAAACTGGCTCTTTTCTAAAACACAAAAAAACAGTACATATTCGAAACAAGTCACCCTGCCAAATATTAATAATCACAAGTGCCCGGTTCAAATAAATAGAAGGAGCATAACGTTAAGTATCACATTAAAACAAAACAAAGGAACATGTGGCAAAACAATAGTATAAAGTAATTAATTCGCAGTGTCAAGTGCAATATGTAACAATCAAACACCTAACGTACGTCAGTACGTCACTCGCCCCCATATGAAGCACCCTGTAAGTAAACGGTAACATATTCATGCGAAAGAAAGATGTGCTGCAAAAAATTCAATTATACCTAATTAAAATGTAGTATCGATGTTTTCAAATGCATCACCATCCGCGCCTACTTATTATGCCGTTTAATTCTGCATACTCGTATTGAATATCATCCCTAAGGAAACATACTGTATCTAAATATAAATAAAAACACGTAAATCGGTCAGTAATTCATACTGCGGTTGGCAGGTAAAACCATCACTAGGAACAAAGGGATACAGTAAATTGAAAATCAACATATTTACGTAGAAAATAACATGGAATCTTGCATTTAATTCAAAGTACGGCCAGTATAATTATAAAAGGACAATTTGTATTTAGAATGGGAATTGGCAAATAATCTAACACGATCATACAATTACTAGATGGATACAATAAATGTAAAGATAAACACTACGTCACCTTTGTAATTGTCGAAGCTGTACGTGCACGAATTGTGAAATTCGAAACGTAAAAATTACTTCTGCCCTCAGCAAAAGCACAAATACCTCTGCCTAAATTTCTCCTTTTTAAGCAAATCCTAGACAAAAATTTTTAATATCGACCATGCTCCGAGTCGCCGGGTCGATAGGGATCATTAAGTTCCCTTGTATGGCGTTATATTTGACACTTTTATTGTAAATTATGGCCCACGGAAACGAAACAAAGTGCAATCTTGAATTCCTTCGTGGCCGCAGGAACGGCTTAGGGAATATTTAAATCGAATTTTAGCGGGCAAAGTCGGTTCCATTACAAGCCGCTATCAAATTCCTTAAATTCCAAAAGGATTACTTGAACAGCACAGACGCCTGAAATAAACTTTGAGTAAAGAACAACAAGATTAATCATAATGAAGCATTTATCTGAATCGTTCGGGTTCGAATAAACATGCGATTTACATGAATTCACACAAACAAAATTTATTTTAAACACACAAATTAAATTAATCCTAAATTATAACAATCAAAATGGGCTATATAGCAAGGGTACGTTTACACACCCCGCATAAGCGTACGATCATAAATTAAACAAATTAATAAAATTTATAAATCTAAAAAACTACTCGGAGCTTTCTGTTAAAATCCCAAAAATCCGGGGAAAAACTCTAATTGCGACAACAGAAAAGCTCACTTAACAAAGCGTATCGCACTAACTTTTTTTCTTTAACTTATCCTCTCTTCAGGTCACAGGAACGTAATATTACTCAATTTGAATTAAACTGGCTTGTCAAACACATGACAGATGAAACGATGGCTGTCCGAAAACAGTAGACGGCAATTTCAATCTTCTTAAAACCTCGGCTAACTTCATGATTATTACGTAATGAATTTTACTTCACGCACAATACGAAACTTAACGCACGACGCGCGTCTTCCAGTATTTCAACCAACAGCAGCTCAGCCTTGAAATTAGCGAAAAGAGTCCGTCTCTTATGCCGACATCAGTATTTAACGTGTCTTACCTACTTTTAACAATTCGAAAAACTTCATCCAATTAACGCAACGTAGCAATACGGCAACCATTCAAAATCCATTCATATGTGTTCTTTAAAGTTGCACGTATTACAGTTTTACGCCAAATTATCGAGGTATACGTTATCCAATAGTAAGCAGGATTTCAAAAGGGGGCGGGGCTTAAAAGAGGTAGGATGGGGATGCCCAAGGTGGCCCCTATACTACTTAACAATTTAATGGATCTGGCAAATTGTGCAAACAAGTTCAATATTACTTTTAATTGGAGCATTTACGAGTAAAACCATTATTTAGCGCAATCGTTTGCATTGAAGAAATATGAAACCTTATAAATCAAACTTACTGTTCAAAATATTACACACCAGAAAGTTTTTGAAAACACCAGGTACGAGTCAACCCATATCACGATTATGGTTGTGGGTTGTCACCTGGACTATTTCTAAAAATGCTGTTTGTGCGCGTAAAGTAATTTTTTACCAAATTGCTCCTTTCTCTAATAGTAATTTGTAATTGAAAATTTAATTTTAATACGTAACTATTGACTATTGATAATCTCTCTGTATCTCTTGCTATTTCATATTCTGAAAATCTGTAAAAAACGCAGAATACACATTGAACTGCTTCTAATTTTACAGTAATAGTAGTAAACCTACTCTAATTTGATGAACTTACATTGCAGAAAGTTATAAAGCAGTTCAAAGATAGAAGATCACAATATTGTCCGAATAGGATAATGAGTAGCTCGGGTGTCACTCTTATCTCGTTATCTAAACAAGGCGAAAACCCCTAGGGCATCTGCCCTTAATATCCTACAAGCCTTTTAATTTACTCCTGGCAACACGCCTAAATTACTCCTGTGAATAAAGGTAGGAAAGCATGTCTCAGAAGGCACGAGTTATCCAAGCCTAATTACACATGTCCGATGAATACAAACGAGACGCTACCAATCGAGAGACAGAAATCATTCGCCGACAAGACGAAAGATGTTTAGATTGGATTTTGATTAATTTGAATATTTTACATTTGTAAAGATGTAATTTAAACTTCCGCAGTTTGTTTAAAGAGGATACGTTTAATGAAAAATAATCACGAAAAATCCAC